GAATTTGTGCAAGGAAAGATTGGTGGCAGAACAAGAGCTCACCACGAAGCGCAGAGAAAAGACTCGACACTAACAAAATATCACACCAAAGTACCTCGTGTGCCCAAGATACTGGTAGGGTTTCCAGCAACGCCTCCGAAAACCACGCGCCTCTAAGGAGAGTTCAGCCGAAAGGTAACGCAGGCGGCAATGACAAGAAACTAGGGTTTCCGGCGTTGACTTTTAATTCAATTCGGCAAAATAAATCGGCGTTTATTGAATAAAAAAATATCGGTAGTTATTCGAATCGAGCGCGAGTCCAGTGCTGGTGTTGTGATGTCACAGGGGAACCATCCACAAAGGTGTAATTTTATCGGCGTTTTTGTTTTGATAAATAATGGAAACACCAGCGTTAAGTTATAACGGCGCCAACACAAAAATCTTATAAATTAAAAAAAAAAAAACTTAGGCAATTTACGTATTGCGGCGACACAAATAGATGAGTTGAATAACGTCGGCTGCCAATAAAAAGCGCCACCTTCAGATTCATACGTTTTTCTTCTTTCTGTACCATTCTACTCCTATAACTTTTAGTCTATCACCATTATGGTGATAGACGCCAGCGGCGATGATCACGTCTGATCATCGCCGCTGGGGTCACTAATAGCCGAAGTTACAGCGATGCCAAAAACTGGTATTAACGTTTCTTGGACACGTTCGGTACATCGAATGCTTCTGCTCATGAGCACTCTCTCTCTCTCTAAAAAAGAAGAAAAAGACAAAGACAATAGGCGTATTTTACACCTATCAAAAATGACTGAGATCACAAGTAACTAAGTGTGAAAAAAAAAAAAAAAGGCTGCATAACCAAAAGAGAAATGCAAACACTACAAGTAGACCTTGGCATCTCAGCTGGCTGGCTCGTGCATCCAAACAATAAACGGCAACGAACGAAAAAAGAAAAAAAAGAAAACAATGATATGTCAGGGTACTGGTGTACAAGATTATATGATAGACGATTGGTACCAGTTCGGAGGATACATAAATGTATATTCGTAGGCAAAAGTGTAAAAGCTTTATATACAATGAGGCAGGCTTTTTTTTCTTCTTTTCCTCGAGACAATCTGGGGCTTGTAATTCAGTCCAAAATTACACAATATCTAGACATGGCGAAAAAACAAACAAACACGGAGTACAACCAATTCGAGCAGCACATCGCCTCGGTAGAAAGCACTGCTCACATAGGCAACGAAGCCGGAGTATCTATACTTTGATTGTTCAACCGATCAAAGAAGCAACAAAATGACAAGACTGAGGACTAACAAGTCAGTTTAAGTATGAGTGGTCTACTGACATATTTCAGTATATATTAATAAAGGGCTATTTGAGTGTGGAAAAATGCCTGGAATTATTACTTAAGCCAGAGTGTGCTCAAAGAGAGGAATACAGCTGAGGTGTAGTTGAACGTTTTCTCTTTGTTAGGCAAGATATCCTCCAGTAAGAGAAAATCTTCAAAGGCCTTCAGGAGCTTCCATTTTACGAAGAATGTAAATGGAGGAATAAGTAACCATGGAATATGGGACCTTTGCGACAGCAGGGGGACATCAACCGTGAGTAGCATTCAGGAAACAATGCAACGGTCAATCTGTACAATATGCAGCAATAAAGAAAGCTAGGAAATGCTTGTTTCCACAAAGTCTGTTGAAATATTTTTTTTGTATGTTTCAAAACACAGAACATTTTAAATATCTTAAAGGCTATGTATAACTTTGGCAGATGACAAGGGGGAAAAAAATCTCTCAGACTACTTCACGTCACTATTAATTAAATTACTGAAAGAGAACATCAGGGTTGTGCATTCCCCATATATGCAAAAAAAAAAAAAACAACCTACTTGCGAAAAAAAAATTGATCCGTCAGACATACTGGCATTTTTCTCTCTCTCTCTCACATACACACACACACACACAAGAGAGAAAGAAACGGAAGCAAGGTGCACCACGAAGAAGCTGTACATTGGCATTAAAATATAAAATGGAAAACGTTCGTTGGCTTGGCTCTCGCGGAAGCCTGAAAAACATTGACCTATGCATACAGGTTCAATTGTGTGCCGCATGAAGCGAGCCTTCCCACATGAAAAGCTCAACAACTAAGCACATGCAGAGTCTTCATGACGTGACACATGAATCAGGAAGAAGAGCTCAGAGCAGTATCTTGAAAAACCTGACTAAGATGTAAAGCAAAAGGTTGACACAAAATAAAACCACAACCCTAGCAATATGTCTCCCCCTGGCAAAAAAAAAAAAAGTTGGGGCACAAGAATCATCAGTGTTCCCAGCCTATTGACGACGTTAAAAGTCTGAGAGGCGGCATAGAACAAGAGCCACCAGAAGACAATGGCGAAGGTGAAGATTTGTACAGAGACGATTCGAGTATTTCAGAAAAAAAAAAAACATCCTCCAGCACACGCTATGGGTTGAACAGAGAAATGCTCAACCCACTAAGTATCACAGTGTTTGGGCTTAGTATGCTCACTTAAGACATTTAAACGTGTGTAAAAACAATGCAACACAAATGAAGTACTACTGCCTCAAAAGCAAGCTCATTGGGCCACTAAATTCGGCCAATGACTACCTTGACGAAGTTACGAGAAATGGGGAATAAGTATGAAACATACCCACATTTCAGAGTGGGCATTAGGACAGAAAGGGGAGCCACAGGAGACAGGCGTAAGGCATTTGCCCTTCCACTGACCAACCCAGATGTTGCCTCCCAGGAATCTCTCCAGCAGTGAGTGGCTACAGTGGCAATCTTCAACTCAAGACTGCTTAAACCTATGACTCCCCAACATTCTCACTGCAGATCAAATCAAAGCTGGCTGCCAGAACTGGGTCATAAGCGCTAGCAATACAAAAGAGCACGATTCTAGGAATCCAGCAAATGCTTCCAAATGCCTTGCAATATGAATGCCAGTCTGCGAGCTATGCCCCCTTCCTAATTTCTGTCAGTTATTGACAGATTGTTGCCTATAGACGTTGCATAGCCAGTTTTTCAACTTAAGAATGGCTCTACACTGCATCTGCACAAGGCCTACACTGAAGTTTCCACATCCGGGAAGTATAGGCTCTCATAAAAGGCAACATCAGAGGTGCACCTCTTCAAGGACTGACTGATTAGGCTGCTGAGCATCACAAAATAAACTGGCCAGTTGTTGCGCGAAGCTGGTGAAAAGCACAGTGGTATTCAAGGAAAGCTAGATAAGCAGAGGAATTATAAAAATAGTTCCAAAACTTTGTACTTTTCTGAGTTCATATTTACTCTTTGAATGCCATAGAATCTTATTTTTCTCCCCTTCAGAAATTGCATGCAAGAATAGTAGATGCTGAAAGTTGCACGCTGCTCACTGCCAGCAAAAGTTGATTATAGCAATTATAACTTAGTAACTCTGCCAATTATCCTATAGACCTATTTGTGGCCTTTGACTTAAACATGAAGTAAACAACTGAAGCTCCAAAATGAGTAAATCCCAGAGTTGAATGCTTGAAAACATTCAGGCATGAATGTCACCTGTTCTCCTTACCTATAATGAGGGTTCCATGTTTTCGGAGTTTATTTCTCTCCAAATTCAGAAATGTTTTCTTAAGATTTTTTTTTTTTAAATTTCCTCAAATTCGATGTTTTCCTATGTAAAGTTTCGGCACCCGACAAAAAAATTGGCGTTTATCAGGTATTACGAGGGGGAAAAAAAACGGGGCATGGGTTTCCTCCACTCCACCCCCCACTCTCCCCTCCCCTCCCCCTCCCCCCCAACACGTCCCGATACTCCTAAGAGAATGACACGAGATTAGGAATGTGTTCCCAGAGAAAACAGCAGTCTCATGGACAGTTCGGGGGGGGGGGGGGGGGGGGTAGTCTACCTGGTTAACACAAAACAAAGCTGAAGATTAAGGTTTCTTCCCGTGAAGCTTCTTATTCAACGTCAGCTCCAATTCGCCTTCTCGGTTTTCCCAATTTTAATAAAGCTGGCTCGAACGTTACTTTTCGGAGCTTATTGGTGTATACTAACACATTAAACCCTACCTATACTTGCCTCTCAATTGCGAATGGCAAAAGTAATTTGCTAAATTCGTGGGCTTTCTCTGAAAACATTTTCAACAGATGAGTCGGTTCACACAAAACTAGAAAGTTTGGTTTCAAAGCTAATATAAAGGGGGGAAATTGAAACAAGGAATGCATAGAAGAAAAATAAAAGTGAAAGGGAACCGAAATAAAATAATAGCGAACCAAGTTGATAGAGCACACTTTGCTAAACCCTGCTCGACAAGTAATCAACATGGTTTTATCTATACGAAACTAAACATGTTCTGCTCAGTGTTTCACCGGCAGCTCATGGTCCAGTATGGGTGACGACTTCTGGGAGCACTACGGAATGCCAGCTCTTCATCTTGGCATTTGCAATCTACAGGCCAGTCAGTTGCCGCCTTTGAATTGCTGCAGTCAACATGGAATGCTAGCAAACTGAGTTCATCTCCGCATCAATCAAGGATGCCTACACTCCGTGTCACTAGTTGTGCGCAGTGCAGGCGAAGGCAACGCCAGGCGAAGAGAGAAATGGCAAGCACTAGGGAGGTGGGATGGGAGAGGAAGACAGTGGAGGACGAGGGGAGAATGGGAGAGCAGTAGGAACATTAGAGGGGCAAGGAGGTTTTTCTCCTCCTTCTAAGCCTCCCTAGTGCTTGCCCTTTCTCCCCTTGCCTGGCGTTGCTTTCGCCAGTACTGCACGCAACTAGTGACACGGAGTACAGCAACACCTCGCAAACAATGAGTGTTCTCAGAGGTTCAGTGTTCTAAGTTCTCCTTCATCCGAATTGTTAGATTGAACTGTAGTGGTACCGATTCTCGCGCTCACTGTCGCCACACCCCCAAATGTTTACGCCAACAAATTTAAGAACTGTCTAAGCGCGCCCACCCCCCTTTTTTTTTGGGGGGGGGGGGGGGGAGGGGCGGGGGGGGGGGGAAGCCGAGCTATTCCCTTTATGGTGCAGGCGGGTGCACACAGCTCTTAACCAAGCCACGGTTGCCCAAGCTCTTTGCCACAATGTTTCACGTATTTTCATGCACCTCACACCTCGACAATGTGCCTAATGCAATATGTGGAAAACGTTTTCAGGGTCACCATCTAAAACAATTTCCGAAAAACCTGACTATCTAGAAATGACGAAATTCTTCCTTCAATTAAGGAAGAGTTATTCTCCTGTGGAACGTGGAATGACCTATTAAGTCACCGGCTTGAAGTTCACACAGAAAAGAGCACCCCTAAGAAAACTGTGCTTGTGCTCAGCAGTACAATTCCAGAGACTGCAACAATATCAAGTTTTTCGGCCCTGTTATCCCAGTGATAAAAAACTAGGTACTTCAAGTTGCCCTGTAGGGTTTCGGATTTTCACGATGTGTAATTTAGGCCCGGTTTGCTTAATATACTGAGTTTTCCCAACACATATTAGAAACCCAAACTACTAAAATAGACTAAGAGACAGATGAAGATCACACACGCACCAAAGAAAGGAATCAACTTTGAGCCTAGCACGACTTGAAATTGGAATCTTGCAACTAGAAAAGACCACATCAGTGTATGCTAAGAAAGACCAATGAAAATGCCAACAATTCATACAGTGAAACGTCCACTGTTGGCTGGCTTGTTTCTGTTGCCTCCCCCTTCCCAATCCCAGTGAACCTGTCACGTAAAACCGAAAAATTACATAATGTCATCGCACCCAAAACGAAATGAAGGAAGGTAATGATGGAAGTACTGCTTCGGATTAGACAATTAAAAATATGCATACTTCAAAACAGTATGTCCACCGTGCATGACCTGAATGTGCCTATGTTACCATTACAAAGGTGTGAGCACACACAACTCCAGTTTTTAAAAAAAAGAACACCAGGGTAAAACAGAAACATGCACACTGATACATCTATGTAAAACAGCATACTAGCTGACTAAAAAAAAGCAACGAAAAGTAGACAGACCACACTATTTGGAAGTGCCAGAGATTCCTCAAACGGAATTTTCCCTGAGTCTCGTGAACTGTCGAGCCCTTTTCCCGCCCTTCCCTCCACTGCTACCACGTATGGAACACATAGGACCGAGTCTTGTTCCACAGGCGGTACACAATGTCGGTGTCCAAATCAGGGTGGCCCATGAAGGGTGGCGGTTCTTGCGGTGCCTGCCCCAGCCAGGCGAGTGCTTCCTGGCCACTGGCGGCTAGGTGTTCACCAAAGTCTACGTGCGTGAGCCCGATCCGCTGCGCGAGAATCCCCGTGATGAGAACGTCGTCCACCCAAAAGTACGGCATCCCGGCCGACGCCCGATACAGGTTGAAGACCACGTCGGGCGACATCACAACCCCCCACCCCGAACAGTACGGTGGGTAGTGGTTTCCACGGTACTCGCGAAAGCTCACCCGCCACTTGCTTCGTTGGCTGCGCTTGACGTAGGGCCGCCGAATCAAAACGCACATCATTAGGTTGGGCGGCGCCAGCGCGCCTAAAGCGTCACGCAGGTACGACGTCAACTGAAACAGGTCCATGAACACGTCGTCGTCCGTCTTGAGCACGTACCGCGCATTGCGGCAAAAGTAGGTCACCCACTTCAGCCCCATCACGTGCTTGTAGGTGAGGTTACGGTAACTGTCCACGAAGTTCCCCATGACCAAGTCGCCGTGGAGGCTGCCCTCCCGCACCAGCGCCTCCTGCGTCTGGGAGTCATCCGCACGTCCAACCATGAACACCAGGGCCATTCGCTCCGTGGTGGCAGCCCGCAGCACACTGGCGTTGCCCCACGTCTCACGGATGGCCCGCCGCTTGTCCCAATGGGTTGGTGCCGAGTGCACAAACACAACCAGAAACAGGTCCTGAGGCCCCCCACACCGGTCACTGTTGAGCACATAGTGGAAGTCGCTCCGGTCCAGCAAAGTCCTCGGGTCGGAGTGTTCGTCGAGCACGGACAGGTTGTAGGCTCCCTGAGGGCTGGTCCAGGCTGGCGTGGCTAAAGGCGGCTGTGCTCGAAGCAGCTGGTGCTCCATCAGCGTGTTGGCGAAGTACCAGAAACTGTGCACCAGCGAGGAGAGCATCAGGAAGCCCAGGATAGCCAGGAAGCTCGAGCGACGCTCACGGCCCAGCACCAGCACCCGAGGCCCCAGCATGCTGCGCCTGCAATGGACATATCTTGTTCAACGGGGCCTCATGCAACAAGAGGACCTCGCTCATTTTACTCGCAGTCCCAGAGCAGGTGGCTGGACCCAAAGTTAATCGGACTGGCACGTGTTGTCAGAATAAATGCAATACTTCACTCTGTCATTTACCCTTACAGTAATATTCAGAGCCTATATCATAAAAAAGTTACAAAATTAAAAAAAATAACGTATATAGAATTTATTACATTATGAGTGTGGTTGCAATCTTAAACAATTGTGATGACTTTTTTTTTCTTATTGCTCTTCCGTCTATTTATGATTTCAATGCCACCACACCGACGCATTTTTCCAGTGAATTATCAATAAATAACAAGAATGGGAGAAAGACCGCATCAAAGTATCATTAGTATCCAACGGATGCCGGAAAAAGATGTACTACGACAGTGGGAAAGTCAGTCGTACACCGACGCAGTTGCCGCGTCTGTGCTATGCGATCACCAAGCCTTGTGGGGCAATCATTACTGGGGCAGTTGAGCAGAATGGTCGCGGTGGTGTGGCCACTCCTAGTGAACAGTCCTGTGCTATCACGTGGGACAAATGCTCCCGGCAGCTTCACGCACCCTGCAGAGTAAGTAAAATGGCGTAATTATAGTATTTTTCTCCTTTTCCATTTGCTGGAAGCTTCTTTCTTATTGGCGAGGGAGAGGCCACGCGTGCAAAATGTCCCCACGGCACTATCGGGGAGCGACCGTGCAGGGCACGGAGTTTTGTACGAAAGATATTTACGGTAGGAGTTTGCGAAATGTAGACCTTGTACTGCCGTCTGGCGACCTGGAAGCCTCTTCAACCTTTGAACGTAGCGTAATTGCGACCGCTGCTGAAACCGCACGGCCGCACGACGGTCGCTTGCCGCAATACTCGGATAAATTGGAGGACCACTGCCGTAGTCTGCTCCCCACGTGGAGTTATATCCAGTTTTTCTGAATGCCTCTACAAAAAGACAGATAGAGCATTTGCTTCCTTGTCTGCAATCGTCGAGGATAGCTCTTCTGGAATACCTTAGGTAGAATCAGGAGTACAGCGGTATTTACCTTCAAATTAGCCATGATGGACATTACGAAAAGCAACATCAAGGAACTGAAGAGTTCATTGGATGAATTTCAAGCCCATATAAATTCCCCTCTAATTATTCTGGGGTGTCGGGTGATAGAGGAAGCAAAAAGTTCGTCTCCAGAGGTATTTTTTAGCTGTATTCTTCAGTTATTGAGGTAAAAATTGCAACAATTTTGTGCGCCTCGCCCTTTTCCCACTAAAAAAAATATAAGATTATTCATAAACTAGAAACAAATAAGTGAAATAACTTAAATTTGTTCCGCACAAGTACCAAATGCCTAAAAATGAAATAAGAATTCAAATCAACTATACACTTGTATAATAATTGTATTTACAAAAAAAAAAAAGAAAACTTACAAACACTGCAAAAAAAGAAAAAAAAAAAACAAGAAAACTGCTTTCGCAGTTTTTTGAGCTACCTAAAATTCACACATTTTCGGAGGAATAGTCAGGTTTAACTCTACCCGGAATATTTTTATTATCCATAAATTCAAAATAGCTATTGAGCAAACGGCAAATGAATGTTATGCCAAAACCAACATTTAAATTTTCTCGCACTCTCCAGTAGGGTGACGTCACTATTGTCTTGTGACCTTTAAGTCAAACAGGATGTCTAAAAACCACACACACATACTTCGTGCAAGTCTTTTTTTTTTTTTGCGTGAGTTTTTTTAGCATTTAGTTTACACGGTCAAATTTCTTGTGACCGGCGTCGGGAACAAGCTCCAGTGCTCCAATATTACAACATTTGACATCATGTTTTCAGTGTTGCCAGTAGACTCTCTCAGCCTCTAGACTATACTTAGCAATGCAATAACTTTGCTAAAAAGAAAAAAGAAAAAAAAAGAAAGATATTGTGATCTGTAATTTGTATTACTAGTTCAGATGTGTCTATTTACGAGTTGAACCCCTTTTGAGGCAAATCAGTGAATATCAAAATTTCGCCGAAGGATCGTTTTTTTCATAAATGGCTAAGACAAAAGTTGCCACATAAAATGTAGTTCCAAGAAATTTGAGCATAGAATATAATTCCTCCCTTGCTCCCGAAATCAGCTGCAAAGCTAAAGCAGCAACAGCCCCAAGAGCAAAATTCTGCTCACACGCAAGTCTCCAGAGAGGCTCCGGCCATTCCCGCGTTGAAAGAGAAACTGCCGTTAATTTCACAGCCTGCCGGCCAACACATAGTTGCGTCTTCCCCGCTCGTGAAAGTGAAACAAAAACACACGGGAGAAGGCCACGACCAGCGCGAAGCGTTCCAGCTTAAATAATTAAAAACCCCTCTAGCAAGGAGAGAAAAAAAAACACAAAAAAAACCTTTAAGTGAGAATGCAAGTACCGTAACCGAAACGCTCCGCTGGCTACGCACACATAGCCCTTGCAGCACAGCACTCGAACTTCAGCTACCAAGAAGCTAGGGCCCCGAAGGCGAAATGCCCACTGGGGGAAAATAAAACAGACGACTAAACACCATAATAATAAATATATATATATATATATATATATATATATATATATATATATATATATATATATATAAATTATTCCAAATGAAAAGCGCCGGCATTCCGATTGCGACTACTTCAAAGAAGCAACGACTATACAGGGTGTTATACAGAACATGGACCAAGATTCATGTAAAAACTCCGCATTGAGATTCAACTACAGTCGCGGACGACATGAAAAAGCTCAGGCGAGCGCGTTGTTTAAATAAGGCCCCCGAATAAGAAAGGTAGCGACATCTTCCTCCTCCTCTGATGCATACACTTTTTTTTTTTTTTTTTTTAGCACTCGCGGGTCGACGGTAGCGCCGCCTGAATAGCTCTGAGACAGCAGGCGCATTTCATATAACTCGAGTCAGAGCGCAGTGGAAGGCTCAAAGGCACGCATACGCAGCGGCTAAAAGCGCACTGTCACGGTGTACCAGTCGCGACGAATGTACTCGAAGAAAGACGACGAAAACCGTGACGTTGCGCTTTCGGCGTTGCTTGATTAGCGACAAGGACTCTTGGCGTCCACTACGCTCGGACAGCTTGTCTGTCTGGCGCTTTGACTATTTGGGCGTACAAAAATTCGTATAAATAAACCAAGGAACGAAGTGCATTGAAACTTTTCACAAAGGTATTTTTAGGGGGGTGCATTTCTCATACTCGAATTTCGTGCGTATGCTTCAGGAAAAAAAAAATATATCGGAATGCGTTTACTAAGTTTCGGTTTCTTACAGACGGTTCCACTGCTTACAAATAGCACAGTCCACACGTGCTAAATCAGCCCAGCCAACTCTCGCGCGCAACTGCGGCCAGCCAGAAAGTGCGCGTGCATAACACACAAACACAGCAATGAACGCGCCCTCAAACGCTTTTATGGAAAGGTGTATTCGCGGTGAGAAGCTCGCTAGGGGCGCTTCTGTTTTCCTCGCTGTGAGTAGCGCACGTGGAACACACGAGGTTATGTTTCACATTTCATTGTGCATAGAAGCTTGGCATCGCAAGCGCTTGTACCAACAGAGGAAGTTGAAGTATCCTCACTCTGAGTTGTGAACAAAATTCCACCAGGCGACGAGACCCAAACTACTCGTTGAGAATAGACCGGTCCCACCAGCCAGTTCGACAACGCCACCGCTGCCGCAATGCATCGAGATAACTTTAACCTTTCAGCACGTGCGAAAACCCCGCTGTAGCTGTGCGCGTGTGGAGCACGAGACAGCACGAGCCCTCCAATGCACGGCCGTCTGCATCCTGTGAACTAAAGTTACGGCGGCGTCACGCATGCGCCGAACGCTTAGTGAAATCGGTCTACTGGCTAGATGCAGCAAATAGGGAACCAAAACCTCGGCGGTCCGTCGATTTTTTTTTTTTTTTTTTTAAAGGGGGGGGGGGGGGTAAAATGCGGGCGCTTTATCCCTTTACCGCATGGTGGGCCATATAAGTCACACACAAGTAAACAACATAAAATATTGCTACAGTGATTTTTGCAGAAACTGCATGAGGACACAGCAGATATGGCACATCGTTTCCCATCCAATGCCAAGCGAATAGACGCCCCGTTTTGGCCGGAAGTCCCGCTTTAGAGGTGGCGCATTTCTGCGCCCCGTTTCACGCCCCGTTTTCGTGGGAACATGCGAAAGTTGCGAAATGAGTGCGTGCTAAGCGAGTGGAAGAAATCTAAAACAATACAGAATACATTTTATAAAAGTAAACATACTATCAAAATGCTTCCTCCCGTTGAGTAAATTCAAAGCTCTTTCTGTGTTTCCATATCTAAATATGTTCTGTTCGCACATACGTTTGTGCCAGTGCCGTAGCCAAGAATTATTTTCGGGGGACAAAATAGATGCGTATATTATAGACGCTTTACACACGCGCCAGATTACAGCCGCCCTTGTTGACCTTCTCTTGTCTTACCGAGATTCTGAGCCACCAGAGAGGGCGTTGAAGAGCCTCCACAAAAGCCTATGGCTGAGGAGAAGGAAACAGTAGTATCTAAAATGGTAATAACTTGTCCTGCTATGGTAATGACGAAGTAATGTAAACAGAATAAAAAAAAAAAAAAACTAAAAAAAAAAACTGAAGGGCGGTTATGGCGGCGCCCATGCACAACCGGCTGGATTTCGAGAAAAGGGGGGGGGGGGGGGGGGGGGCTGAAGTGCTTTGTGCGGGGCACTTTTCTATATTGGTGTATCTGACATGCTGCGGTTTTGTTTAAAAATTAAGAAGAGAGATGATTGTGTACTGAACTAAACGAAAAACTTAGGCAAAAAAATAAAATCAATTAATCGTACAGAAAACTAAATAGCAGCATAACTTGCTTCTTTTTTCTTTTTTTTTTTTTGGGGGGGGGGGGGGGGCGCTCTTTGCTTTTGTTTTGAACATCTATCGGACACATGGTCGTAGCATATGCCAGTGG